GAGAGAGAGAGAGAGAGAGAGAGAGAGAGAGAGAGAGATTGGGGACTGAATGCAGGACCTTTGTATTGAGCTATATCCTTGCCACTTTTTAGACTTTTAAATTTTGAAATAGGGTTTCATTAAGATGGTAAATTGTCTAAGGTGGGTTTCAATTTGTAGTTTTCTGCCTCAGTCTCTCAAAGTGCTGAGATTACAGATAATACACTACCATACTCAACCACGAAGTGATATTTATAGTACAATTTTCAGAGCAAACATTTAAAATTAACTTCCATTTCCTTTAACATAATTGATTATATATAGTATATAGACTGTCAGATGTTTATAAAAATGAAATAGATTAATATTAACTAACAAGTAACAACCTTCAAGGCATATTAATTACTGACAAAACAAATTCTAGTATGATATGTATGATGCCATTTAAGTAAAAATGCAAAAAAGTATCTGTGATTGTGAAATAGATATGTATATAAACAACTAGAGAAAGGACCACATGGTTTATGTACATGATTAGTAGGAAAAGAGAGAAATGGGGGGAAAAGGGCAAAGTGAACTTTTCATCTTTTCAATATTGATTTAAATTTTTTAATTTTTTAAAATCAGATTTTATTGGCACATTTCAGATATACGTAGTGATCACATTCATCATAGAGCATTTGTACCTGTACATGGCATAACCTATTTTTTTTCCTCATTCCCCTACCCTCCCTTTAACCTTTTAATATTCTTTTAGTAGTGGGGATTGAATTCCAGTTCTTTGTACTAAACTGTAGCTCTTTATATTTTGAGAAAAATTTTCAGTAAGTCACTAAGTTGCCCGGGCTGGACTTAAACTTGCCATCCTTCTGACTTAACTTCCCAGGCATATGACACCATACCTGGGTTAATTTTTTAAACTACAAATAGGACAAATATATTCTACTTGTAAAAAAGGCAGGCATGGTAGAACCCACTTGTTATCCCAACACTCTGGGAGATTTAGGCAGGAAGATTGCAAGTTCGAACCCAGTGTGTGCAACTTAGCAAGACCCTCCGTGAAAATGAAAATAAAAATGGTGGGAATGTAGTTTAGTACAAGGGCCCTGGGTTCTATTCCCAGTACTATCACACACACACACACACACACACACACACACACACACACACACCTTTATGCTAAAATAAGCTCTAGTTTAAGCAAAAATTTGAATGTAAATAATAAAGCCATAATGTATCAAGAAATGTTTCCTGGGCTGGAAACATTGCTTAGTCATAGATGCTTGGCTAGCATGTGCAGGGCCCTGGGTTTAGCCCCCAGTAATGGGGTAAAAAAAGAAACAAAAACCTTTTCCCAGGGGAAAAGGTTTTTGTACTCATGGAGGTCTAGTCAGTGCAAGTAGACATTTTTGCAAGTGGATTTATTTCAAGAAACGATCGCACAGGTCACATAATGACAGATCTGTAGAAATGAGGTTTTGAAGGAGCTTCTGCTTTTTTCTGCCCTTTCCAGTGTCAGTTCTGAGTTGTTCTCTATAATTGTAGACTGGTGGTTTAGATAGCTACCACAGAGCTAAGAGGGTATGGAATGAGAATATGACGAATTATAATACCCTACAGCATGCTGTTTTATCAAGATTTATCTGATTTTTAAAGAAGAAGTACTTCCTAGATTGGTGTAAGCTTTAATTTTTAGATTGGTGAAAAAATTAGTTCTGATAATTCTTGCCAGCTTTTTGTAGAGGGGAATTTATTTTTTTATTTTTATTTATTTATTTTTTTTTGTGGAACCAGGATTGAACTCAGGCCCTTGCACTTGCCAGGCAAACACTTATTCTACTGCGCTATCTCCCCAGCCCCAGAGGAGAAATATTTAAAGATGCTTAATGCATCATTTTTTGCTGATAGCCCTTCACTAGATATACTCAGTGGCTTTTGGTCAATTTTCAGAGTATTTCAGTGGTTGTTATGGTTTATGTCTGGATGTCTCCCCAAAGCCTCATGTAGCCATGGGGGTTGGGCTTTACTGAACTGGCTGAATCTAGACTTTGTGATAGGTTCAATGTCAAGTGCTGAGGTTGAGTGTGTGAGTGCTACACCTGCCCCAGGTCAGGTAGCCTGTGTACAATATAAGGGAGGAAGAGAGGCATGCTCCTCTCCTTTTTGCTCTTGTTGCTTTTTTTGTCTTGTGCCACCATGAACTTTTGCCCCTCTGCCATGTGCCACCCTACTTAGGAGCCAGCAGATTATGAACTAAAACCTCCACAAACTGTGGCCTAAATAAGCCTTTTCTTCCTTAATTTCCTTCCTTAACCTTGGATGTCTGGTCTTTTGTCTCAGCAGTGAGAAAAATAGCTAAAACAGTTGTCTTTGAATCTTCTGTCAGTTTTATTGTTACTCTTTGTGGTACTGGGAATTTTTTTTCAGAAGGGGTTTGGGGGCTGGCCTGGAACTCATGTCAGTCCTCCTGCCTCAGCCTCCCAAGTGCTGGGATTATAGCATGCACCACCATGCCTGGCTGGTGCTGGGAATTGAACTCAGGGCCTCAAGGATGTACTGATCTATATCCTCAGCCCATTAAAAATTTTGAGATAAGGTCTTGCTAGGGTGACCAGGCTGGTTTTGAAATTGAGATCCTCCTGTCTCTTTGGATTTTTGAGGCAGGGTCATGCTATATAGTTCAGGCTGGCCCTAAATTCAATATGTAACCTAGGCTGAGCTCAAACTCATGGCAATCCTCCTGCCTCAGTCTCCCATGTTCTGATATTACAGACATGCACCAGCATGCTTGCCTGCCTCAGGGTCTTTGGTCACCGGAATCATAGGTATGTGCCTGTACACCTAGCCTATCATTGCTCTTTTAGGAAAGGATCTGGACATTTATTATTTATTTTATTATTATTATTTTTTGGGTGGAACCGGGAATTGAACCCAGACCCTTGCGCTTGCCAGGGAAGCCCTTATTCCACTGAGCCATCTCCCCAGCCCCCCCCCCCCTTTGTTTTTTGGATCTGGACATTTATTGTAGACTATTATGCTTAAGTAAACTGTAACTGCATTTAAGATATAGGGAAAAATACACTTCCATATATATGAAATTGAAACACGTATCAGACATCAACTTTCTTTAACAATACTCAAGCAAGATGAGAAGAATCTCAAGGAAAACAGTGCACTGGATTAAGAAATAATGGTGAGGGCTGGTGAGATGGCTCAGTAGTCTAAGGTACCTACTTAGAACAAGCTTAGCAAAGCACGGGACCGCGGTTCAATCCCCCAGCACCACATGCCAGCCAGCCCCGCCCCCTGGTGGGCTGAACTGGCCACACACACACACAAATTAAAAAAAAAAATTCTGTGTCACTGAATAATAGTGATAGGAAAAGGGAGCCTTTTAAAATTTTATTTTATTTTTAAAAAGAGAATGCAAAATTGTAATAATAAAAAATTAGAAACAATACAGAATCTCACTAAGCAAAATAATACAAGTTTGACAGTATTTGTTGTATTGCATAATGTTGTCTTCAACTTAGTTTAGATTACCAGGTATATGCATGCAAAGTTGGAAAAAAATGTTACAAGGATTTAAGAAGAAAAAGAGGAAAAACAATGAAAAAAAAATTAAGCATTAACTGCTCCTTTCCATAGGCCAACAGAAATCCACAGTACAGTTATCCAAGTCATCATGTATATCTTTTCCCCCTCCCTCCCTCTCCTGTCCTTCTCCTCATTTCAGTAATAAGGGAGCCTTTTGTTTATTTTTTATTTTGCGGTACTGGGGATTGAACTCAGGACCCTGCGCTTGCCAGGCAGGCACTTATCCCCAGCCCAAGGGAGCCTTTTAGTGAGATGCTTTTCTATTTAACCTGTTATTGCTTGTGTCTAGATGACCTCCCCCAAAGCTTCATGTGGTCATAGATAGGGCTTTTTCAGAGAGGTAGCTGGATCTAGTGTATATGATACTGGGATTAAGTATGTGTGATTACTAAATTAGTCCACTGATTGATTTGACACATTTCTGAACATGGAATGGGAAGGCCCATTCTGTGTATAAGAGTGCGCAACCTGGCTAGACTATGAAGCCTGCTGCCGATTCTTGCTGCTGCACAGCTTTGGTACTAGCTGCCTTGCTGCCTTCCACCTGTTATGCATTGTTTCTTCCCTGCAATGCCACCCTGTCATGGAGCCAGCCAACTGCAAACTGAATCTACTACAAAATATGAGCCAAAATGGGCCTTTTCTCCTTTAACTTTGGGTATAAGGTATTTTATCTCAGCAACAAGAGAATTAAGATACTGTTGAAACTGGCACTGTGTGTTTATTCACTATTATATAACAAAGGTATTTTAACTATCATCCATAAAACATAATAAGTACAAATAAAATCTTGCCTAGCAGTCTTTTGGTTAAAAGTAGTAACTCATGTTTAATGGAGGAAAATGTATATTTCTGAATAACAAAGGCTTTGTTTTTAACAGGTGAGAGGAATGACATGTGCCTCCTGTGTACATAAAATAGAATCTACTCTAACAAAACACAGAGGAATCTTCTACTGTTCTGTGGCCCTGGCAACCAACAAAGCACATATTAAATATGATCCAGAAATCATTGGTCCTAGGGACATTATCCACACAATTGAAGTAAGTACCAAGAATGTATTTCTGTATTCTTTTTTTTATGTCTGAATTCTTACTGTCTCAATTAGTAGTCCTTTGAATCACATACAGTTTGCATGAAATAGACAATGAAAAAAATCTGACTGCTTTGAACATTTGTGACAAGCTCCATCACAAAATCTAATTCATTTCATTTTCTAATTTAGAGACAGGATCTTGTTAAGTTCCTAAGTTTCCCAGGCTGGGCTGGAACTTGTGACCCTCTTGCCTCAACCTTCCAGAATACTGGGATTACAGGCATAGCTCACTGCAAAATTTAATGTAAGTAAGGCAGGTATGGTGGCATATGCCTATAATCCCAGAACATGGGAGGTTGAGGCAAGAGGATTGCTGTATGTTTGAGGCCAGCCTGGGGTACGTAGTGAGTTTAAGACCACCTGGATGTCATAATAAGACCCTATGTCAAAAAACGCATGGCTGTCTCTTTTCCTTGGTCATCATCAGGAAAACTCAGGAAAAGAAGTATTTAATATTGTAAATTACCACTTTTCTGCCTGCTTCCCTCTCCTCCCAAGCACCGCTCAGGCTGCACTGCGCTTGTTCTTGAGCTCCTGGCTCCTGCTAAGCTTGTGCGGCCGCCACCTCACTCAGCCACCATCATGATTATCTACCGGGACCTCATCAGCCACGATGAGATGTTCTCCAACATTTACAAGATCTGGGAGATCGTGGATGGGCTGTGCCTGGAGGTGGAGGGCAAGATGGTCAGTAGAACAGAGGGTAACACTGACAACTTGGTCATTGGTGGCAATGCCTCTGCTGAAGGCCCAGAGGGCAAAGGCATGGAAAGCACAGTAGTCACTGGTGTAGATATTGTAATGAACCATCACTTGAAGGAAACCAGCTTCACAAGAGGCCTACAGGAAGTACATCAAGGATTATATGAAATCAATCAACGGCAGACTTGAAGAACAAAGACCAGAAAGAGTAAAACCATTTATGACGGGGGCTGCAGAGCAAATCAAGCACATTCTTGCTAATTTCAAAAACTGTCAGTTCTTTATTGGTGCAAACATGAATCCAGATGGCATGGTTGCTCTTTTGGACTACCGTGAGGATGGTGGGACCCCCTTTATGATTTTAAGGATGGTTTAGAAATGGAAAAATGTTAATGGATTCAATGGTAGCCTTGGATCTATCACTTGTCATAACTGGCTGCTGCTTGTCATCTACGCAACACCAGGATTTTAGACAAATAGGACTGATGTCATCTTGAACGCTTCATTTATTTTGACCGTGATTTATTTGGAGTGGAGACATTGTTTTTTAGGGGAAAAAACACATCATGTAGGTTGTCTAAAAATAAAGTGCATTTAAACTCATTTGAGAGAATGCCTCTTAGTTTAATAGTTATCTAAAATAAGTCCTTTGGTAGTGTTCATGGAGAAGACAGAACCTGGTCAGAGCCTACGACTAAAAAGCATAAGATTGTCTGCAAATAACTTCTGCAGTGGAACTACTTCTGAGACTGGAATATGAGACAAGAATCAAAGTTTCAATTCTGACTTTCAGAGAAGGGAAAGAGACTATGTTCATAGCAGTGCCAACATTTGAAGTGAAGCCTTACAGATTTCATCACCTACAATGGAAGTAGTTAATCCTGGAAGAGATTACCAAAAGAATAAAAAGACTTAGTTGAAAAAAAATACTGTAAATTTACCATCAGACTTAGAGCTGTGTCACTTAAAAATATTTTGAAACTTTAAATACTTTGTGTGTGTTGCTAGGGACCCAGGTTATCATGCTTGCTAGGCACGTGCTCTATCACTGAGCTACACTGCTAGCCTTAGAAAGTGGAAATAAATTAACAGCAATCACTAAGTTTCTTGTTAATCACTGAGGAAATGAAATATATCAGACGCATTATTGTATGTTAGAGACAAAGCAAAAAAACCCCCAAACTTTTAAGTTAAGGTAAAATGTTTAAAAACCCAAACTCTTTGAGCCAAATTTGTTGGGTCTTAAGTAAATCTGAAACAGTGATACATTGGAAAGTGCATCAAAACTTTCAGTGTGCTACAAAATTTAATGTTCTACTGATCTAAAGCAATGATGGCAAATCTTTTAGAGTCTGAGTCCCCAAACTGCAGCCTAAAACCCACTTACTTATTGTAAAGCACCAACACTGCAATTGAACCTGAATACTGGGTTTTAGTTTAGAAAAAAACTCAACTCACATATTAAAAGAAAAGCACAATAGCAAAGCTCTTAGTGATACAAATGGCCTGCTGTGGCACATGTGCATTAGGTTCACCAGCATTGATCTAAAGTGCATTATTTAAAAAAAAAAGAAAAAGAAAAAAAAATAATAAAGTGCATTAGTTGCTCAGATGAGATCCTGTTAATATGGGTTCTTTAACATCTTCGTGAAGCTACCATTATTGAGTACCCATGACACAAAGATGTAATAGCACAGTAATACAAGAGTCTTAGTTGCTTTTTCCTTGTTGCTGGGACAAAATACCCAAAGCCCAAAATTAAGGAAGGAGAGATTTATGTAGCTCACAGTTAGTGGAGGTTTTAATCCATGCTTGGCTGGCTCCAATGAAGAGTGGCACATGGCAGAGGGCAGCAGCTCACGCAGTGGAAAACAGCAGAGAGCCAAGGGAAGGAGTAACAGCTGTGGCTGCTAGCAAGCCTCTCTCTCTTCCCCACGTTGTATGCAGATTATCTTCCCCAGGGTGAGTGTAGCACTCACACTCATAATCCCCCCAATTGGATCACGAGTTATCCACAAACTCTAGAAGCCACCCCAGTGACTGCATGAGGCTTTGGGGAGACAACTAGACACAAACCATAACAATAAGATTCCAAAACTTCAGCTCAATTCCCACAGTAGTGTGGTTATCTTTGTTCTGTTTTCTTTTCTTTCTTTCTTTCTTTCTTTCTTTCTTTCTTTCTTTCTTTCTTTCTTTCTTTCTTTCTTTTTTGGTAGAACTAGGGATTGAACTCAGGCCCTTGTGCTTGCCAGAGAAGTGCTTATTCCACTGAGCCATCTCCCTGGCCCCCCCTTTTTTTTAAAAAAAAAGAATATAAAATATTGATAATAAAAAGATTAGAAATGATACAGAATTTCACTAAACAAAATAATACAAATTCAACATTCTTTTGTCTTCAAATTAGATTACTAGATATATGTATGCAAAATTGTAAAAGTTATAAGAAATTAGTAAGAGAAAAAATAATAAGCATTAACTGTTACTTTCCATAGACCAGCAGAAATCCACAGTACAATTGTGCAAGCCCTCCTAGCATACATACATAGATATATCTCTTTCCCCCGTCTTTATTTTGGAAGTGAAGAAACTCAAGTGAAGAGATCACTTGTTGAAAGTTGTATATTGTAGCTAGTCAATATCGTGACTGGGAGTAGAGCCTAATTACTATCACTAAAGCTCAGGGTTGCCCTTTTCACTCTGCTTACTACACTGTCAACAAATACAATAGCATGCCAGTTTCCCTAGCAAATAAAAATATAGCATATGTTACTGTCAGTGTTCGCATGAGTCTTATGCAGGTGTAGTTTCCTTTTTATACTTTGTTGGAAAAGATGACTTTTTTGTGTTCTCTTTCTGGTGGAACAAGAGTCAAGACTGCATATGTGAGGCCCTGGATAATATATTTAGTATGGTACTACCTTTTGAGGCCTATTAATGAGAACTATTACTGAGGAAAAAGGAACTAGAGTCAAATTGTTAGTATGATAATAGTAGGATAAATGTTAACTAGAATTAAAGAAATACTACTTTTTTATTGAAGGATTAGAAACAAGGTCATTAAGAACAGGAAGCATGTTTTTATTTGTATTCCTCAGTGACTTGCAGTTATTAAACTGGACTATTGTAAATAACAATACCATGACTTAGAATTTCTCTGTAGTATTTACATAATGAATGAAATAAATTTTTTTCTGAATTTTCTTAGAGCTTAGGTTTTGAAGCTTCTTTGGTCAAGAAGGATCGGTCAGCAAGTCACCTAGACCATAAGCGAGAAATAAGACAGTAAGTGCTTTTGGAGATTCAGTAACACAACAGATTTTTGACTCATTAGTAATTTAACATTCTCTTAGCATGTCAGATTTTACCGTATCATCCTTAAATGGGGTGGAATAATTTTATCTTGTATTTCTCCATAGGACATAGACTCTTTAGTCACTACAACTTACTAAAATGAATTTTCTTTTCTTGTTTTTTTTCCATATAAGATGGAGACGATCCTTCCTTGTGAGCCTGTTTTTCTGTATTCCTGTAATGGGCCTGATGATATATATGATGGTTATGGACCATCACCTTGAAACTCTTCACCATAATCAGAACATGAGTAATGAAGACATGATCAATATTCATTCTTCTATGTTTCTGGAGCGCCAGATCTTTCCAGGATTGTCCATTATGAATTTGCTGTCATTTTTATTGTGTGTACCTGTACAGGCAAGTGAAATATTAGCAAATGTATTTGTATTGAATCAAAAATAATGAAAATGGGGCTGACCAGATAACTCAGCAGATAGAAGCACCTGCTTAGGCAGAGCGCAGGGACTGGGGTTCGATCCCAGACACCACAACCATGCCGGCCCTCCCCCCGGGGTATGCTGAGATAGCAATTGAGACTGGGTGTGGTGGCACGTGCCTGTATTCCCAGTGCTTGGGAGGTTGAAAACAGGAGGATCACTATGAGTCCGATCTACATAGTGAGACTCTGTAGACTCTGTACCAAATACATAAAAAAGTAAAAAAAAAAAAAAGAAAAAAAGAAAAATTTGTAAGCAAGGTTGTTTCCATATTCAAAAGATATATTAGCCAGAAGTCTGTGCTGGATACTTTATAAAAATAATCTTAAACTGAATAGTTGAAGTAGATAATAGATTCTGTTAGGACTTAATGATAAATCAGAGAACAAGAGTTAAAGTGTTTTTGGATTTGGTATTCATATCTGCTCTTCTGTTAAAGTATTGTTATTGTCTGGCACGTCAGTTCATTATTTTCTGTCTTTTCTTCCCTTCTTTTGAGGTAAACCTTTACTGTAGAAAGAATCATTCCATTTCATAAATATATTTTTTTACTTGATCCTTATAAAAAACATTGTGAGGGCTATGGATAAAACTCAGAGGTAGTGCACTTACCGAGCGTGTTGCAGGTGCTGGGTTCAGTCTGCAGCATCACATACACAAAATGAAAATACAAAAAACCAAACTGGCCCAGACACAATGGGTCATGTTGTCTCTGTAATCCCAACTAATCAGGTAGCTCAGGTGGAAGGAGTCCAAGTTTGAGGCTAGCCTGGGCTACCTCATGAAACGTTGCCCCAAATAAAAAATAAGTCTGTGATGTAACTAAATGGTAGAGCACTTTCCTAACATGTGCAAGGTCCTAGGTTCAATACCCAGTACTGTAAAAAAAGTTCATGACAAAATATTTTAAATTTTTCCTTGCTTTTGTTTTTGTGAGCATCAAAAAGAAACATCCAAGAATCATCTGACTTTCTTTATGTTATAGAACACACTTGGGATGACAGAGGATACTCCTGAAGGGCATATACAGTAATTCAAATCGTTTGCTGTGCACACACATCCACTAAAGTACAAAATTCTCCTGAATTAAAATTTCCCTTAATATTGATGGATTAGTTAAAATCCAAAGAAAGTAAATACTGACACTTTACCTATTGAGGTATATATGTGAATGTCATCATTTAAAAAATTTCAGTGATTTTCATTTCTGTATTGCAGTTTTTTGGAGGCTGGCACTTCTACATTCAGGCTTACAAAGCACTGAAGCATAAGACGGCAAACATGGATGTACTGATTGTGCTGGCAACCACAATTGCCTTTGCCTACTCTTCAGTTATTCTTCTTGTTGCAACATATGAGAGAGCCAAAGTGAACCCTATTACGTTCTTTGACACACCTCCTATGCTATTTGTGTTTATTGCGCTGGGCCGCTGGCTGGAACATATAGCAAAGGTAAATGTGAGAGAGTGCCATTTGTTAAAATCATGGATAGATGAATGACTGTAAGTGGTACAATGTTTTGTAACAGTTATTGTAAATAAACATTGATTTATGTAGTTTACCATTTACTGAGGAAATATTTTTATTTTAGCAATATTTTAAGTTGAATATTCTTTTAGTAGATTAATTTATAGAATTAATACTGTGGATAGTAGAATATGCCCATGCATATTTTAAGAGAGACATTTGAAATGTATCTACTTTGTTATATTAAATTGTCAGTTGATATGATGACATTGTTTAAAATACTGATAGAAAAAGTACAATGCTATAATGAAAATTATTTTCTAATCCTGTTCCACATATCTTTATATTTAATGGAGTTGGAAGCTTAGTGTATATGCCAATCTGTAACCTGAACACTAGTGAGTGTTTTTCACTCTTGTTGCAGTCTAGATGATTATTTGATATTTCTGAGTAATAATTGTCAAGTTAGTGTTTTATTATAAGGATATAATTATTGGGATAAAGGCCATAAATTGTATAACGGTTTGTACTACACGTTGTAACAGTTTTTGCCAGCAAGGATATGTCAGTGAAGTAATTTTAGTATATCATCAGCACCACGTCCTGTAATTGCTTAAATGGTTATAGCATTGCTTTAGTTTGCTTTTCTTTCAAACTGAATAAGGATTTTTTCATATATTGAGTATTTGTATTTCATTTTAAATGGCTTGCATAGTTAAGTCTCTTTCCCATGTGTCTACTGGGTTTCTAATATTTTTTCTTGCTTACATTTTCTTCATAAATTATATATGATACCTATTTTGTATTTTTCATATTTTTGGTATAAAATTTCCAGATTTGGATAAAATATATTTTTAAAAATTATATATATTTTTCTTTAGTTTTTTTATTAGTGCATGTTTGCAATACAGAATGATCACTTCCATCATAGGGGATTTGTATTTGTGCATAGCACATCTTAATTCTTTTTTATGTTCCTTTACTCTCCCTCATCCTCCAACCCTTCTTCCCCTCCCCATTTACAAAGGCTGTGTTTCTACTTTTTTTTCTCTGTTTTCTTTAAATCCCTATTTCCTTCCTTTCTTCCATCCTCTCTTCCCCCATCTCTTGATCCCTTTTCATTTGAACAAGTTCTTCTTGTCGTCCCTTTTGCTCATTTATTTTAGATTTCTCACGTGAGATGAACCGTGCGATATTTAGACTTGTGTGTCTGGTTTATTTTACTTTAGATTATGATCTCTTTTTGATACTAGGAATCAAATTCATAACCTCGTGCTTACCAGGCAAGCACTGTGATACTGAACTATATCCACAGCCCTTGATTATAGTCTTTTTTTTAAATTAATTTTATTGGTACATTTTATTTTTATTTTTTTTTAACATTTATTTAGTGTGTGTGTGTGTGTGTGTGTGTGTGTGTGTGTGGCCAGCTCAGCCCACCAGGGGGCG